CCACGCTTCCAATGAATCCATTTCTGATGATGCTTCAACAGTAGAGGGCCATTTTCTATTTCCTAAGAACATGATGTTCATATACGGGTCGTCTGCTACAGATAGTTTTAAATCCTGACATTTATTTGTTTATCTCTAAGGACTGAGTTACAAATGAAGCGAAAAGCAGCCAATGTCAAAGAAAAAAAAAAAAGAGCAAAAGCCGGGAGAACTATTGCTCAAGATCACTTTAAACAAATAAACAAACATATACAAAGAAATCTGGTTTCCTGGAACCAAAACGTAAAGAAAAGACGGGCGGCACAAGTGTTTTGCATGACGCTCTAAACCAAAATTCAAAAGTAGTATCTTGACACATCTTAATCTCTGGTGAATCACCAACCTATCTGACTGGTTTCTGCGAGCAGCACACACAGCTGAGTGGGCTGACACACTGGGCGGTAACAAGCTCTAAATAAATAAATGAAAGAAAACTCATCGCAGAGCTGACGAACTACGTCAGCTAGTGAGCCAGTCGCTAACATGTCAGCCACTCACTACTGTGGCTTCTCTGCAATGTGCACTTTATCCCCCCTTTGTTCTCAAGCTTGCACACTATTCCACTCAAGCATTTTTACTGAATAAGGAAAATAATCTATCCAAGCTTGCTAATTGCTCGCCAGCCAGCTCATTAACTAAGCTACTAGCAAGACAAAGTCCCCATTGTTTATTCAGAAGCCATACTTGCAGCTTTCTGCCTTCCTGTAACGCTCTGCAAACTTTTATGTTTATAGTGAAACAGCAAACTAACATCCTGAATTTTGGACTGTAGGGCTCAAAGGTCAGCTCTGGATGGCTTGGTGCTCACCCAATCTGAATTTTCTTTTTTTTTTTTCCATAGCAGATGAGCCCGCCCACTGCAGCAGTGTGACTAGAATAATACGAACTGGTAAAAACAAGCCTTTGGGAAAAGGGAGGGGAAAAGTTTTAATAATCAAGTATACCAGCATTTTGGTATACTTCTGCAGCTGTCACCAATGATTGGGCTTTATTCCAAATTTCACTGGCCCCAAGCACGCACACATTTACAAAGAAAACACTCGCACTAGGCTGTGTGAAAGTAATGGATTAACCAGCTGCACCTGCATAGCCCAATTAAAAGTATTTACTGAATCAGAGTCTTATTTACTACACGTTTTATTCATCTGTGTTGGTACACAAGTGTCAGCCAATGAAAGGGAAGATTTTTTTGTAGAATGGGAATAATTTATGAGAAGTGAAATCCACAGCACAGCGGGGGCTGCGATACTGCGGATAGATCTTAAAATGTTACAAGCGGCCAAAAATATGCCGATGACAGCGTAAATTTCTCTCTTTCTTCAACTGAGTCTGAGAAACCTGATCCTCCGGGTTAGCCGGGCCGTAGCCGCAGTAACAACTTTCACTAAAACCCATCTCCATCTCTAATAACACATCCTATCATAGTGATCATTCGTGTGCACCTGCATGGTGGTTTGACATCTGCTTTACACCCAGTCCCAAGCCTGGAAAAATGGGAAGAGCGTCCAGTCTGTGGATCTAGCCTTAAACTTGGCAAAGCTCTGACAGTTTGAGTTATCAAATCAAAACTGGCTCATTAGTAGTGTGGACACTGGTAGAAAATAATTAAAGCTGCAAGCAAACACATGCAAGTAGCATGTTTACACCTTATTATCTGGGGCGGTTTTAAAACAGAAAACATTTCCTGTCCAGGTGAGAGTTTCAGCAGATTATTAGATTGGAAGTCTTGATAAGTGCTGCAAAGAATGCAGCAAATGCAAGTCAAGTTAATTCATCATCAAGGCGTTTGTTTCCCAGAAAAGGAAGGACACGTAAACTGATGGTTCCTATCAGCGTGTCATGTCTAAAGTTTATAGACTGAAACGGGCTCAGCAGCACTTGCAAAAGTCAGGAAACTGTGGACATCAGGCGTAAACGTCGTTGTGTGCGACAGACTGCTCTTTACAATCCCTGGCAGCTAAAAGGTCAGTGGAATGTGTAAGAATGTCTAAAGGTCAAAGAAGCACTACTGCAGAGAGGATCCTAATCAGTTCATCTGGACAGCCTTTCCCCCTGACTCGTTTGGAGACCGAGTGTGGCTGTGTGAGTCTCAGGCAATCTGTGCGGCACTGTAGGGGAGCCTAAAGCGAGCCCTCTGTGACAGCATCATGTTTCAGGCGGTCTTTGACTGGAACTAAGTTCCAGACCACCAGAAGCGAATGCAAACGTTAAAAGTCTGGAAATATAAGTCACTGTTTTAGATTAGAAAACTGAGCTGTACTCAAAGCAACCCCCAATGCTTTTTCTTCTAGGACTTCTAAACAGGAGCCTCACAGTTAACGGCGCACACCCCGTCTCACACACACACACATTGTCCTTATATCCACAAAAGAAGAAGAGTTGGTAGGGGGAGTAGGGTGGGGTGAATCGGGGTGGGGGTGAGCCATGTGAGTGCACAAGAAATTCAATTAAGCAGACAGCGGGATAGCTCCACAACCCAACCTCCTTTGAGCACAATGTGCCCTCCAACAGTCCCGGCTCCACTCCCAAGCTTCCCAGCCAACCCCTTACCGCCATTCAGCCACTCCCCCAACACCACCAAGACCCACTGAGGACCCTTTGCTGGGCTCCCTTTCATGCACCCCCTACCTCCCCCCCACCCTCTTCCCAGTTGTCTCTTTTGCCTCAAAGGAGATGAAAATCTTTAAGATGTGCAACAGCCAAGATGGAAAAACGAATTTAAATAGTTGACATTAAAAAGTTTAAGGCAACTTAGCTAAAAAAAGAAAGTTGTTCGTTTTAGACACACAAAAAAAATCTCTTCTTTTTGTTTTCTGTGTGTGTGTGTGTGTGTGTGTGTGTGTGTGTGTGTGTGTGTGTGTGTGTGTGTGTGTGGGGCAAGCTGACAGATGCTGTTCATTTAGCACTTGTGCAGCAATCCTCGAGCTTGTCTCCTAAATGCCCAGGGGAGCCACTGGCATTTGGACAGCATTAAATAAAAAGCCACTCTGCAGACCTCACACCACGTCCAGATCTGACCTCGCAAAGATGGCCACTCCACTCGGATTTCAACCAGCCAACTGACTAAATCTGTGCCGGTGAAGAAGCCCGTTCTACTCACCCTCCCCTCAGCCTCGCTCTGGCATGTAACAGGTAGCCAGGCTGCTATTCGAGCAAGGTTTTAAGAATTATTTACTCGGGGTGGAAGCGATGAAACACCTGCTCGACCGGCACGCTTCTGGGTAAAGCAATCTAACGTGTGTAAATAACAGCTTCCTATGAGAGTAGCCTTGCTTTTTCCTGACATGTTAGGAAATGTCAATAGCTGTTCTGTTACTTACCAGACTCGCGCTGTTTACAGCACAAGAATAATTTGCGATTCTCAGGGTTGTTTGGGACGACGCAGCGTCAGTCTCATTACAAATGCATAGGTTTTAACAATGAGATAATAAACCTCTCAAATGAGGCGGCCCTTTCCCATGCCAGCGTATTGTTAGAAATGTGTACATCATTGTCAGTGATGAACACACAGAGCCCGAGACTCAGGGGCGCACAATGTCACACACACACACTCGCACATAAAGGCTGAGAGAGGCGCTAAGCTGCCGCAGACACAATGTGGATGTTACATAATAACAGCAGAGCGCAGACCAAAATGTTGCGTGTTGTGCGAGTATACGTGCGTGTGTGTTTGCGGATTAAGAGCCCCTCGTGCATGCAACATTTCTTTTATATTATGTTACCTTCACGGTTTTCTCAGCGCACAATTCCAGGAATGTCCAATGGATAACATGTGACCGGTGTGATCTGATTTGAAGCTGCTTGCTTTGAGCCTAAATTCTGCTGCGGTTGCCCTGTCCTTGTAAATCGGGGTAAAATAAGGTCCAACCCCCCCCCCCTCAAACACACACACGTGAAACAGACTTTATTCCTCTCACAAAACAGATCACAGTGGGTTATGAGCCCGTGTGCTTGCTAAACGAGGCTTAGTGTCCTCCTGTTCCATCATGGCTTTTTCATCCCCACTTGCAGCTTTCAGTCATGTATTTAGGTCTTAAAAACAGGGACATTGACTTCTGGTCCCAAGCCACGCATTTCAAACGGGGGCCCTAAGCAGATATGAGTCCTCTTCCACAGCCAGAGACAACAAAGATAATCAGTGAACAACCCCAAGGAGAAAAAAAAAAATCAATCTGCTTGATCCCCTTTTGAAAGCTATTAAGATAAGTCTCCTTCACTGAGAAGCACAAGTGCAGTGACCCAAATCAGTGCAGACATAAATGACAGGTTGGCGTGGGGGCTGAAAAGGCCACTTAAGAGATGCTGTGTGTTTCATAATCACCCCAATCAAGACTTTACAGTGAGGTTAAGCCAAGACCCCATGGGTGTTAATCCATCCCAACACTTCTGATCAGCATATGCGGCCACAGCAAGCACATACGCGCAGTAACTACACAGTGTGTCTCTATTAGCAGCAGAGCCCAGGAATACAGGTGTAAGGGCCAATTCCCCATTGTTTAAAGCAGGGGTGTCAAACTCAAATACACAGTGGGCCAAAATTCAAAACTGGAACAAGGTCGCGGGCTAACATTAATATTTATTGAAAAATAAATCTCCTCCAAATTTAAGAATGAATCTCTTCTTATGGACTCAAACAAGTTTTGCTGAAAAACTGAATATGGAACAAGCAAAGCTTAATACTAAACAATATATATTAGCTGTATAATACCAGTAGGCCAGCTCTAATAATAACTTGGTATGGCTTCGAGGGGCAAATGTAATTAGGCTGCGGGCCAAATTTGGCCAGCGGGCCAGAGTTTGACACCTATGGTTTTAAGAAAGAATTGGACCAAAGTTTTTATTTAGGAACTTTTAGATTCCGATTAGTTGACGACTGCTCTACTTCCCTACAGAAACCCCATAATGTGGGGCGTGCATGATGACTGTGGCATCCTGGTGTGTTTACAAGTGCATGTACTCACCATTCAGTCCATTGGGGATGCTTCTGTGATGATGTGGCGCTGATAGGTCATCCATGGATCTTCTTATCGTGGTCCCCATCTTACCGTTCTCTGAGGGCTTGTGCATGTGGTTGTGATTGTGGTGATCGGGGCTACCAGCACTTCCTGTGCTGGACGTGCTACTCCCATCTCCAACATCCCTGACCGTGCTGGTGCCCCCGTTCAGGTTGGTCAAGCTGGACTGACTATCTATGGAGCTCCGGGACCCTGCCCCATTCCTCTCTTCATCCAGCATGAGGATGATCTCCTTCAGTTCAGAGTTCTCCCTCAGCACAGTCTCCTGGTTGGCCTCCAGCTCCTTGAGCTTCATCATGTAGGTGCCCACCTCCTTCCACATGGCGCTGGCTGTGTAGCGGCCGAAACGCTGCCACTCCCGGGACAGCTTCTTGCCCTTCTGTCGGTCGTCGTCCAGGAAGCAGCAGAGTTCCCGGAGCTCGTGGTTGTCATCTTGGAGCTTCTGGTTGATCTCCTTCAGGTTCCGGATTTCATGAAGGTGCACCTGCAGCCGCCGGTTAATGTCCTTCATCATGTTGCCATGCTCGATCATCAAGTTCATTTTCTCGCCGTCAACCCTCCTTAATTTCCTAACCAGCTCCTCTTTGCTGCACCGCAGCAGCTCGTCGTCCGTCAGCTGGCTCAGGTCATCCTTCGGCCCCTCGGACGGATTTTTAGCCATGACTGTGGCGGCTGCGAGTCTCAGTTCGTTTATGCAGCTGCTTAAGATTAACTCTCAGAAACTCACTAACCTAACCTCAATTGCGGAATCGTGTTAAAAAATGAATACATTGTCCAAAAAGGGGGGGAAAAAATCTGAAAAGTATCGATAATGCCCTGATCTTCAACAGGCCGATAATAAAACTGAAAGAATAAACAACACAAATATGACTGTGATGCTTCCACAACCCGAGCTTTTAAAGAAATGACACCACTGATCTGGTAAAATAAATAAAAAATACTCACAGGAACAACAGTTGGTGGTCACAGTCGGTCAGAAACAAGCAAGCGATATAAAATCGATTATCAGGGATTTCCGATCACCGAGTCCTGTCGGCAAAAACACAGCGACCCGTAACAGTGTGCACCGTCTCTGCTGGACATCACAACATTCACATGATGGAAAACGTGAAATCCGCCAGCTTCTTCTTTTATGTTTAGGTGAATTCAACCTAATTTCGCGCAAAACAGCGAATGTTCGAGTAAAACGCGCAACCTATAAGAAAAGTCCTCTTGGACGTGTTTCACCGTCTCCTCGGATAAAAGCGTCTTCAGTGAGGCGGTGTGATAGTGGACGGACGACTCAATCCTTTCCACCCAGCAGCCTCGGAATTATCAGTGGACCCCCCGCCTCTCTCCTCCCTCTTGTCCAAACACTCGGGTTTGAAATCATTCAAGAGGACTCAGCTCGAGACGACCAATCAAGACGCGCGAGAGAAGTGGGCAGCAGGTAGATGAAAAAGTGCGGCGCAGCCTCGCAGAGCTCAGGCTCGGCCTTCTTAAAGGTACAGGAGGACGCGCTCGCCGTAAAAACACACTGGATTCATTAAAGAAGAAAAATCAGACTACGCCTCACGACTTTTATTCTTTATTCTTAACTGAAGCACAGATGTATTGTGTGCTTTTAATGGCCGTGATTTCGTTGACAATACTTGAGCATTGAAAAGCTGGGCTGGTTTACTGAAATGAAGCCCCAAAATATTCATTTAGTTAAAAATCAAAAATACTTTAACCTATGACAATAGGCTTTAGCTACATGCATATTTGATTAAAAATTAAAAAAATATTACCATCTGTGTTTAAACCAGAGACAACTTCTGGGAGAGTTCTTTTTCTGAACATTGAATTTAAACAGCTTTTTAAAAGTCAGAGATCTCTGCAAGATCTCAGCGCCCCCATGTGGACACTGTCCGTAAAGGCATTAAGACAGCAAATCGGGTACAGAAATATAAAACACGCTTGTTTCCAAATGATTTCCATTTACACACATATTAGTGTTGTAGGCACAAAGAGGATTGTGGTTATGAAAAAAAAGACACTACACACCGCTATATAATGAGTTTCTGCATGATTAACAAACAAGTGCAAATGGTATTTAACCCAGCTGTCCCCTTCAAAAAAATTAAATTATATTGTAATGAAAAAAATAATAATTATCACCATCATTTCATTTCGCTTTACCATGTAATTCATATCTGATACTGTTTTTATTATAAAGATTTATTTTTTTAATCACAGCTTTTAGGCAGGAGTAGATCAACACAGTTTTACCCTACAGACCACTATGATTTCTTTTTATGTAAAGTCCTTTAAGATCCTTTATTTTTGTAATCCCTGTGACTCAAAGTGCACAACACTCCACTCTTTGGTCTGAGTGTGCCAGCATCCAGGATGTCAAAGGTCTGTCCCGGGACGAGAGTGAAGTCAAACCTCTGGAGCAGTTTGGCCATCACCACTTTAGCCTCCATCTAAAAA